CTTCCTTCCTTCCTTCCTTCCTTCCTTCCTTCCTTCCTTCCTTCCTTCCTTCCCTTCCTTCCCATCTTTCTTTCTTTTTTAAATGGGGCTTTTTGCTACTCTCACATTCCTCCTCCGAAGAGGTAACCCTAAAATCCTTTTAAGGATTAGATAAGAGCTCCCAAATACTTTTGACAATTTTGGCCTTTGGAATATAGTATGTTGCTAAGTGGCTCAAGGACATTTTGACTTTTAGCCAAGACACTGGCTATTTTTCTTTGGGATCTCTTTACGCTAACTGCCTAGCCAATTCCTACCTCCTATTCTTATCACACAATACTCTGAAGAGGTTACCCAAATTGCTGATGGGGAACCGGGATGCAGACTGCTTTGGCTTCTTGCATGCTGAACAGGGACACAGGGTGAGGCAATTGGGGTACCCATTCAGTAGGTCTGTATAAAAGACTTCCACATCGCATAACTCTTACCTGTAGGGAGAAAAGAAAGCCTTTGACTGGTGACTAGGGGATGTGAAGGAGAAGTAAAGGCAAGAGTAGTTAGCATTACAAGTTCTAGACAGGGCACCAGAAAAAGTCAAAACAGGGAAAATTTCAAATGTTCATATCAGGGTCCATTGGGATTTATTGACCAGAGCTTCCCAAAGCATCCCTCTATTGAGTTTCTCCTCATTTTTCTTTTGTCTGCCAAGGCTGGACTTGAGAGTGATGGACTCAGGATTTGTTTTCAGGCACTTTGATAACTGTTGGAGTGGCTGGAGTCAGTGTCAGTTCCCTCTCAAAGGCTTCTAGAGAGGGGGAGAAAACAAATTTATCCATCATTTTAGAACAATAGTGGATTGTCTCCCTTAGCTACAGGTGGGCACTACAGTATTGCAGACGAAGATTTGAAGTCTTATGTCTGAACAGCACTTTCTGCTTAGTAACAAAGTCATCAATGAGAAATAATTATCTAAATAACATTTTGTGTGGACTTAGTTGTGGCCTTCTGTGTGCATTACACTCTGTTGTATAAGAGAGCTTCACTGGTGACAGTTGAGGGATGTACCGGTTTTCTTTCCATCCCTTATTCTGCTATGACCCATGAGCCTTGGTTGTAGAGGATCAACTGTAGATGTGTCACCCAGTACTGGGCATCTCAGACATATGTTCTCTGTGTCTGACCAGATGTGCAACTCTGCAGTAGCCTCCATCTGTTGCAAAAAGAAGCTTCTTTGATGAGTGCTGCACGGCATGTTTGTCATAAGGATTGATATTTAGTACATAGAAGTTTCATTTGTCTTGAGATATCAAAGAGATAGGGTTTTCTCCAGGATCTGTGTCCTCTCCTGCCATATGTATGTGGCTGAGTTTACAGTGCTAGAAAGTTTTTGATAATAAAATCTAATGTGTGTGTGTGTGTGTGTGTGTGTGTGTGTGTGTGTGTGTGTGTGTGTGTTTCTTTTGTGGTTGTTTCTCTTACCCTATTTTATTGTAATGAGTATTGTTATTTATGGAGTAATTTTGGAAATCAGATTATGTTCCTTTCCCAGGGTTTGATCTTTTGTTTTACTATTGTTTGAAAGCTGTAGCAATCAGTTTAACCATGACATTCCCAAATTATGTTTCCAAAGACATGCAGCTGTAACACATAGCCACTGGTTCTTTTAGCTTTGAGGGATATATCCTTGAATTTTAGCAGTTAAAACCATAGTGGAAAAAGAGATGTGACTCCTACAAGTTGTCCTCTGATGTTCATATGCACATCATGGCAGGTGCCTATAAGCAGGCATACACACATACCCAATAAATAAAAAAATATAAAAAACACTGTAAAAAGTTTTTGAAAAATTCTTACCATTGTAAAGTTGCCTTTTTCTCAATTTAGTGTCTACTTTGTTGCTACAAACTTTCTTCTGTTCTGTCAAGGTTGGTTTAGCCAGGTTTTTGTTGTTTGGATACAAGGTCTCACTATGTAGCCCCAATTGGCCAGGAACTTGCTATGTAGGCCATCCCAGCCTGGCCTGGGTCTCATGGAGAGCCACCTACCTTTGCCTCTCAAATGTTAAGATTAAAGGCATGCACCATCATGCCTGGTGTTTGGACAGCTTTGTGCATTTTTCAGCGTTTTTCTGGAGAGTTGGGAGCTTTGAGTGTACCTTTCCTATCATCTAACTGATATTATTCTTCATCTGTCATTAATCATTGAGAACATGACTGTGCAGTGACGGCATGTTATTGTAGTATATAGACATATATTTACTATAGTTATATAGTTTATTGAGCATTTTTCTGCATTTTAAAGTTTTTTTTTTAATCTTAAGCTAAATTTCCAGAAGTAGAAAACAAACGCGAACTGTTTCTCCATTTTCATATTTATTTAGCTCCGAAGTTTTGTATCAATTCATATTCCCACAAAAGCACATGAGAACGTGTTTTAGTTTGCTTCTCTGTTGCTATGGTAAAACTTAGTAAAGGCAACTTGGGGGAGGAAAGGGTTTATTTGGCTTGCAGATTACAGTCCAACTTAGAGAAAAGGCAAGGCAGGAACTCAGGGCAGGAGCTGAAGCAGAAACCACAGAGGAATGCTGCTTACTGACTTGCTTCTTCTGTCCTGCCCAGATAGTTTTCTTATACAGGCCAGGTCCGTTTGCCCAGGGATGTCACCACCCATAGTGTGATGGACCCTTTTTCATCAATTAGAAATCAAGGAAAATGCTCCATAGACATACCTACAGGCCAGTCTGATGGAGGAAATTCTTCAAGTGGGGTTCTCTCTTCTCAGTTGTCTCTAGTTTGCGTAAAGTTGATAAAAAAAAAAAAATGCCAGCACAGAATGTGCATGTTTTTGCTCTTATAACTTAATCATCTTTGCCTACTTAATAGGCAAAAATGGCATCTTGTGATTGTTTATGAGTTTGGACCCATTAGCTGCTTTGTTCCCTCAGTTCATAATGCAGTTCAGTTTGTCCATTTCTTCAACTGTTTGGGCCAGAGAAGTTGTAGCATTCTTATGATCAAGCGTACAGCACTTTTTTTTTTCTGCTGTCAAACATATAAAACTTGAATTTATTTGGCAGTGAATCTCAATGGTGCCTATCCCAAGCTGGTGCCTTTCAGACCTGCAGGACGACTGATCTCCCCACCTCTGCTGCTCTCGGTCATCCTCAACATTCTGCTCAGTTTGGTCATGCATGTCATGGGCTTCATCCTGGTGCAGAAGCAGCCTTGGTATTCAGTGGAGTTGCACAGGTATCAGAACTTCAGCTCCAGGTTCTCACATTTTAACTTCTAGTAAACATCATCTGAGTGGATGGCAAACATCACCTGAACTCCACCATTATGAATGGAGGCAAATGGGTCTTCATCCTGCCAAGGATTTGGGCTTCCCAAAATCCTTTGAGAAAATTGTCAGCAATAATTTCTTCTCTGTAGCAGGTAGCCAGATTTGCTTGCGTTGTGTAATAATGATCTCTGATAATCTATTATACCTAGAATGTCCAGGCTTATAATTTTCCTGGTCTGTCCCAGGTTTAAGAGCCCATTTTAAGTGATGTCCAGTGAAATGATAAAAGTCTTCTACTTTCAAAATTTTCCCTGTCCAATGATAAATTATGTGTCCCCCTATGTATTAATTGTGGGAATTCTTAAGCCACCCAAGGGAAGAATCATAGCTTTTACATCTCTTTCCCATTCAGCCTCAATACACATGATGGGTGTACAGCTTTATGACTAAGCAGCCAGTTGAATCTATATATCTGTGTCTATTTGTATATTAATTTATCCCAAAATTACAGATTCATCTGTGCTATTTCTTTTCTTTTTGTGTCTTCTTTGCTGAAGTGTAGAAAATTATGAAATATCGAGTGTGCCTGCTCTGGGTACTGTTTTCCACAGACACTTATAGATACAAGTATGTTTTAAAGACTTGATAGCTTACTTCAACTAGCTTTTCTGGCTTCCCTTTATAGTGCCTGCACTGTGAAAAATGAAAGTGTCTTTACCTGGACCACTTTTCCAAATGTTCCTGAAAAAATTAAGAGCAACAGTGCCTTTGCAAGTTTTGAGAATACTACTATATGGTTCTTGGGAACAATCAACTGTATCGTTGTGGCTCTTGTATTCTCTAAAGGAAAACCCTTCAGGCAGCCCACCTATACAAACTGTGAGTAATACTGCATGGAATCTGAGGTATGAGGGCATTAGTATCAACATGCCCAGGTCACTCAGGAACAAAGGGTAAAGTTGGCTCTTATCTAAAGAGCAGTATTCAACTGTTTCCCTATGCAAAGGAGAAAATGCACAAAATAATTCTGGAACAACTTTATATGAGGGTACTGATCCTTCTGCTTGTACTCCTGAATGTTCATAATTAGAGGAGCAGTGTCAGTATACAAACAAATATCTCAGAGACTAAGTGGGGCATCCACTTCTAATGAACCTCCTCACCTCAAAGTTACTCCACCCTAGAGTTGAATGCTGACTCTATATCACTACAATAGAAAATTTTGTGTATTTACAACACGCCTGGTTTCCCAAAAAAGGACTTGAGGCAGATGATTTATATCAGAGTCAGATACTTGAATGTCTTCAAAGTGTTTCTTGAAAGTGCTTTGTCAATGATATTCAATATATATTTGCCACTTGTGTTACTTGAAACACAAACAGAATTTCCACTTGCCTCGAAGATATGCATAGAAATTGTAGAGGTGAGACCCGCTGCATAGAAATGAATGCTCTCCATCCACTATGCTGTGGTTTGGATGTGGAAATGAAGTAAATGTATCAATGTTAGTCTAGAATACATCAGATGTGACACTCCACACTGGACCTTCTCAGGGTGACAGCTTGTGTTCTTGTTTCCTCAGATGTATTTGTCCTTGTGCTGATTTTACAGCTAGGCATCTGTCTGTTCATCCTATTTGCTGACATTCCAGAATTGCATAGGCGTTTGGATGTAAGTCTCATTTTCTGGGATATGATGATGATGATGTTCAGTTTTATACCATTCTGAAAGCAGGTCACCATTGTAATCAACATGGATTCTTGACACCATTTATGTACTTTGCAGATGGCAACCTTTAAAAGAGTGCTGAATTATATCTATTTTCAAATTTAAGCTAATTAGGAAATAAAATTCCTCCAAGTATTAATTTTTCTGAGTCTAAAGATAACCTTTGAAAAAAAATATTGAACCATTTTTCATTGAAAAAATCCACTATAAGGTTGGAAGAAGTCCATTTATATATTTTCTCTTTCAAATGTGGTAGTATTTCCTCCCCAAATGCTTCTGTTTTGAAGCTGTTTAAAACAGTTTTGCCTGAAGCAGTCTTTTGGTTAATTCTCAAATCTGCACTTACATTTTAAAAAGCTTTTTAAAACGTGTTTTTCTGTATGTTCATAGTTATGTCTGAAAGCTTGCTTTCAAAGAGCCTGTTCATCTAACTTATTCACGCACCCTCTTACCAATTTTAATACTGAGACAACTTTGAAATCCTACAGGACACTGTACTTTCACCTACTCCATCAAGGGAAAAATACAGTTGATTCTTTCAACCGATTCTACTTTTGAATTAAAATGAGATCATTAGTAAATGTCCTTTATACCAATAAACACAGTACAGAGAAAACAATGAACAGACTTGAGTTTTACATACTCAGTGCCTTTGTATGTCTGCCTACCTCTCCATGTCCAAAATTAGTTTAAAATCTTTAGATTCACTTATGCATATGAATATTTTGTCTGAATGTATGTGTGTGCACCGTGTGCATACCTGGTGCTCACAGAGGACAGCAAAGGGCATTGGATCCCCTGGAACTAGAGTTAACAGATGGTTGTGAGCCACCATGTGGATGCTGGGAACTGAACCCGGTCCTTTGTAAGAGTAGCCAGTGCTCTTAACCAGTGCAACATCTCTTCAGCCCCTCCAAGATGAGTTTTTAAAAGAGGAACAATTTCACATCATGTTCATTCTTGTTTTATAATGCCTTGCACGGCAAATGTTGCAAAATCGAATTGGTCAGAACGTAGTATGTTTCAACATATAGATGACCACTTAGGGCACACAGTGCATTTTTAGCCTGTGATACCTTCTCCAGTCCACAGTGATATGTCACCTACTGTGTCCACATTTGTTTCTTTATTTTATAATTGCATTATATTGGTTAGTAAGTGTATTTACCATTTTTGTTTGTCTCTTCATTTGATAGATTAAATACTTCTGGTTATAAGGAGTCTTTGCTGAAGTGAGGTTAAGTTCTGTTTGGTCCACTCACACTATTCTATCTAGGGCTCTTCCGGACAGGCTGATGCTCTGGAATAATTAAGTAGGGAATGATTTTTGTTTGGAGAGAACCTGTATAGAGCAATGTCAGCATGATTACAGAAGATCCTGCAAAGAAGGACCTTTAAAATAACAATCTCTCTTTGCTTTAAAATAACAATCTTTCTTATTATTACATAAACCATGGGTCCATTTTTAGAAAATGTAGAAGAGGCAAAGAAAATTATAACATCATTCACTATCCATCCATCTTTTAAAATTCATATATTATAAATGTACATTGACTCAGATTTATGAAATTTATTTTGAATGGAATCATACTGTTTCACAACCTAGATAAATACATTCATATGGCTTAAAATTAAAAAATGAAAATACAGTGAAATATCCCTTCTGACCTAGCTTTCCTCTACAGGCAACCTAGGATACCAGTTTGTTTCACATACTTCCACACTTATTTTATACATATGAGGAGAAATATACGTATTTCTTGTGTGTGTGTGTGTGTGTGTGTGTGTGTGTGTGTATCTTCTCCCACATTTTTAGACAACAGTAGCAAAGTATCCCATTTGTTCAGTATTCTGAGACATTGATGCTAAAGGGGATGTGTTGTGCAAGAGATTTATTGGAGGAGAGATCTGGGGAGAGGGGTGGGGAAACGGTAGAAGCCTGGGAAGGTTAGGAGAGGCATCTCACTATCATGAAGGCCTGACCCTGTGAAGAGGGAAGGAGGGTCCTCAATGAGAAGTGTCTCAGTCTACATTGACTTAAGGATTCAGCCAACACTGTCCACCAGGACTGTCTGGTGTCTCTCTGATATCTCACAGGAGTGTCATGAGAATCCATGCTATCCTCATTCGTTGGTTAGGAGGAGCCCATGGGAAATGCAGCTTTGGGGTGGAAGTTGTGGTAGATTTTGAGTATAGTGTTTGGGGTTCCCAATATTTATCTTCCCAGCAGCATGAGATCGAGCGGAACATTTTCATAGCTGTGAGTATTTATCTTCCCAGCAGCGGGAGATTCCAGTGGAACATTTTCCTGGCTGCTGTGGCCGCACACAGCCTTGCACCTCACTTCCTTAATGTATCAGGCTATTTTGGCTCCATAAGTGCACACAGATCTTTTCATTCTTTTTAATGATAACATAATATTTTATTATAGATACATATATTTTATATTTCATGATATATCTGATAGATATCACAATTTATATAATCCCATATTGATTGACATATGGTTGTTTCCAAGTTGTTACCATTAGAAAGGGATAATTAAAGAACCATGTACATAGCTTTTAGCCATCTGCAAGTATATACCAGGAATAAATTCCTAGAAATGGATTTAAATTTTTAATTTGAGAGTGAAAGCATCAACTTTCACTCCCACCATTATATGAGGTAATATCTAAGACATACTGCATATTTCAGAGTGTACTTGGCTTTTCCATCCATCCATCCACGCTTCCATCCACGCATCCATCCCTTCTTCCCTCCCTCCCTCCACCCATCCATCCATCTATCCATCCATCCATCCATCCATCCATCCACCCACCCATCCATCCACTATATGAGGCCCTCTGCCTGGAAAGGGTTTGAGGGAAGCCACAGTGGAAGTACGGATAGCTTGTGTGGAGTTCCACGTGGTCCTTTGGCAAGTACCCTTGTGAGGGTGCAGGTTGTGTAGCTGTAGGCACAGCCCTGAGAGAGCACTCCTGATCCAGTGCTCAAGAGTAGCACTTGGATCAGAAGAAATATGACATCCAGTGTGGAGGCTTCCCACTGATCCTCAGAGATGACTGGTAAAGAAGTTACCTTCCGACATTCTTTCTTCAAAATAAAAAAATCAGACAGACAAAAGGTTTTGCTATTATTTATTTTCATTGCAAAGTGACCAAAGGTATTTTAGGAAACAGAAATTATAGATAAAAGAAAAAGACTAAGAGTGAGAAAAGAAAAAAAGACCTCAATCCTGAAATGATTGAATATCAATGTTCCACAGTTCTACAAAATTATGTGTATGTGTATAAATACATGTATGTAATATGTAAAATGCACACATGGGAACTGAACTCCAACTGGTCCTCCACAAGAACGGCAGGGGCTCTTAACCACTGAGCCATGCTCTATTGAGTTACAGATACCTGTGAACCTCTTGATGTGGGTCCTGGGAACTGAACTCCAACTGGTCCTCCACAAGAACGGCAGGGGCTCTTAACCGCTGAGCCATGCTCTATTGTGTGTGTGTGTGTGTGTGTGTGTGTATTTACATTTGTATATATTTACTCCTGTGATTTATAGCCTATACATGTGTCCATTGTGAGCATGTAAACTTTTCCCAGCATATTTGTTCTGAGATTAACTGTGCCTCATCATCTTCTGCCAGCTGCTCTGCACTCCTGTCCTGTGGAGGGTCTACATCATTGTCATGATCAGCTCCAATTTCATCATCTCCCTTGCTGTGGAGGTAAGTGCCCTCAGGCTAGCTGCTACACTGTGAGTGGGGAATTCTTTGGGAGTCAATAAAGCAGCTTCAGTGGCCAGAGATTCGGAACTGCACTGTCTTCCCTTCTCTCACACTCTGAACTTCTCTCTGATGAGCTCCAAAAAACCATTACTCTTCTCATCTCTAAAGTGTGGTTCTGAGTATGAAATTATGATCTTTAAGGTTCTATTCATTCTTAAAATTCCCAAAATACATATACAAACAGAATTCACAATATTTTGGTCTTTTTGATACAGGGTTTCCCTGTAGCCCCAGCTGGCCTGGAACTCACTATGTAGACCAGGCTGGCCTCTATCTCACAGAGATCGGCCTATCTCTGCCTTCAGAGTGCTAAGATTAAAGGCACGCATCACCACACCTGGCTCTAATTCACATTTTTAAATTGAGATATGATTTGTACACCATAAAAGTCACCATTTCAAAGTCAACAAGTCAATGATTTTTAGATTTTTAGTATAGCCACTGAGTTGAGCAACCATCAACACTACCAATTCCAGAATCCTTTCATCACCCCCAAAAGGAATCCTATGCCCATAGGCAGCCGCTTTCCATTCCTTTCCCTCCCCCTTGATGACCATTAACATACTTTCTGTCTTTCTGGATTTACCTACTTTGGACACTTCATATGAATGAAATCATTCTATATGTGGTTTTGGTTTTTGCTTTGTTTTATTTTCAGTGTTGAAGATTGGACCTGGGATCTTGCACATGTTAGGCAAGCACTCTTACCAAGCTATATCCCCAACTCCCTTTTTTTTTTTTTAAAGACACAGTCTCACTATGTAACCCAGGCTGGCTTTGAACTAACTCCTCCTACCTCTACCTACTGAGGATTGGGATTTTAGGAGTATGCCATTTGGCTTCAGAGGTATGTGCTTTTTTGAAACTGACTTCATTCATTTAACAGCTCATATCATACTTTGGGATATAAGTTTGGGAAATAAGACATGAGCTTTCCCAGCTTTCATTCTACAGCTGTGGTTTGTTCCTCTTCCTCAGTGAAATGAGTTTGTCCCCCTTCTATCTCGAAGTATCTCACTCCCTCTCTCTCTCTTCAGTCTCCCTTCCTTGAAGCTTGCTGTTGGGAAGGTAATGCCTAATAAAGGCATCCATGGAGAGGCGCAATGTGGGATTCCATCTGTCTCCATTCTTGCTCTGAATGATAAAACTAGTGTGTTCCAAAAACTGCGGTATTCACAATGGGCTGAAGGTGCCTTACAAGCTGACTTCCCTGCTAAAAGTGTAAAGGCAGAAGCTCTGAGAATATTCCATACCACGCAGAGCAAATACGGCAACAGGAGCTGGTGGTAGAACAAAACACTGCCTCAGGGTCCTGGAGCTTTTCTGTATAGGCTAAACCAGGGTGTGCCAAAACAGAGTGGGAGCACAGGTGCCTGACAGGCTTGGTAAAATGGTAAGCATAGATTGCCAAGCCCTACCTTCCTTGTGTCTGGCTTAGCAGGCCTAGAGTAAGTGTGAGAATCTGCATGTCTAACAGGTTGCCATTGCAAGTCTGCTGTGGAAGATTCAGGCATCACTCTCTGAGAACACTATACTAAGTCATCCGCTCTTCAAAGCAACCAGATTAATACGGTGTCATCAGACTGAGTTGCAGGAATCTGGTCCCTACCATTTAAAGAATAATCTTATGTACACATCTTGCTCACTGACTTTTCTGTTTGGACTATCTTTTTCGTATCTGCATATTGAAATTTTATTCTATCCTCTGTGGCATAACTGTAGGACTGACGTCTAAATAAATCTGTCTTGATCCCTGGGTCTACTAAACAAGTTACAAAACTCACTAAGAACATCTTAAACAGCAAAGATACTTATTGATTCAATAACAGACTGGAGATAGAGGTTTCGGGACTCCCTGGTGCCAGGGATTTGGACCTTTCTTTCCCAGTAGTCTTAGCTGTGTCCTTTCATGCTTGGTGCTCAGGGAGTTTCCACCTCATTGTATGATGCTTCCCTTTGGGGGCAGGAAGGAAACAGGAAATGTTCCCACAAACTTGTATTTCCTCAAATGTGAACTTGTTACTCGGAGAAACAAGTTTTCCTATGGCCCACCAGTAGGTGACTTCATGTGCCTCTTTGGTGAGAACTTGTTATACTGAATAGAAAGGGATTCTGGGAAAGGATATTCATGCCCAAAGTTAAACAGATTGGCTTGGACTGTTTGTTTGCTTGTTTGTTCATTTGTTTTTCCTCTCAGGTGGGTGGGCAAGGAAGAACTGAAAGGCAGCATGCTGTAGGGTAGTCAAGCATCACAGTCTGCCACAATGCCTTAGCAGGAAGACCTTCACCAACTGGTATATAATTGGTATATTTGTAGGAAAGAGTGCAGGTTCAGATAACCCACCTATGAGTGAATCCTGCCTTCACACCTGCTGTCTGACTTTGAAGACATTATTCTATTTCCTTGGGCCCCTTTACTTACTCCCTACAAAGTGTTATTAATAATGATAACTTACCTTGTAGGATTATTAAAGACTGAGATGTGAGATGTGGGCAGCAAAAAAGCACATAGTACGTGTTCAAAAAACATAAACCTAACCAGGCATGATGGTTCTGTGCACCTGTCTGTAATCCCAGCAGCCAGAGGCTGAGACAGGAGTTTGAAGACCAAGAGTTTGAGGCAAGCTACATAGATTCTGCTTCTCAGAAGTCTAAACCAAAACAAACCAAGCAAAAATAAAAACAACCACCCCCACTCTCTCAAACACACACACACACACACACACACACACATACACACACACGCACACACCAAGAAACAGTACTGGGAATGAGCCATCATTATCTCCTGTGATATTTACCATTTCTTACTTTGTATTTCTCAGTCTTTCAGTCATTTCTTTATATGTTCTTTCTAGAACAGTCCATTGACCTAATGATCTATCAGAGGGTGTTTTGCCAAGAGGAGAAAGACAACAGAAGAGTAGAGTTTACAATCTACAGGGAGAAAGCAGACAAGTGTTAAAGATATTTAGGTACTAATACCTCTCTTTTTTGCCATTCAACACTGCTACCAAGAATTCATGTTAGCAGCTACTGCACTTCAAATCCCGCTTAATTATAGTTGGGGCTAAGCAAGAGATTTTTTTAATTAAATGCAAGAAATGACTTTGCTCATCCCCAGAAGATGGAATGGATACTTCGATGCTCATGAAAGATACAGCTTCTTCCTTGGTTCTTCTTTGGATGAGGAGTGAGACATACTCAGGAATGTTCAGTATGGGTTTTCATTCTAGCTGAAAAATAGCATTGAAGGATAAGAACTCCTACCCTACACCCCTCCCCTGAGGGTCTAGTTGCTTAGTGACCCTTTTCTCTGTGGTCAGCAGGTACTTAGAGAAGGAGTAGAGTTACTGAGTCGGGGGGAAAGCTGTTGCAACTGAGAAAGTGGACATTGTTTTCCTGTTTCATGTGGTGAGTCTAGGAGAGTGGGTAAAGACTGTCATAAACTCAGCAAGATGTTTTTCCCCAGGTGTGTCTATCTGTATGTCAGAAGGTATTATGGAGTGCTGGATGAACTGTGCTAACTCCATCCTTCTTGTCAGCCTGTGGTATATATGGTCCAGAGGGGCTTTTGACGGGTAGGCATGAAGGAAGGCTAGCCTCCCTTGCATATTCTGAATATTGTCTGGTTTGCTGAGGTCTGACTCTAACCACAAACTTGACCCTAGCTCTAATGCTGTTCTTAGAGCATCCCAGAAAACAAACAGGTTTCAATAAAACCTTACTGTGTGAGTCTCACTCCCCTCATGCTCAGAAGCATGGGAACTAATGTGGATAGCTTTAACCCATCTTTTTATTACTTGTGTATGTCCATGTGTGTACACAAGTACTTAAGAATTGAGTAGCTAGTTACAGAAGCTGACCTGACAAAATTATTTTAAGAAATAGAATCTCATCAAAACTTTGCTTTGTTTCTAGTTGTGCATTTAATTTACAAGGCGGAGTCACAGGACAAATCACCTAGCAGGGCTTCAGTTTCCTTCTGGAGAGTGGAAGGGGATACAAGTCCTCATACTAAAATAGGGAAAAGTTCCAGACAACAGGGAGAGCCTCTCCTCCTCCTCCTCCTCTTCCTCTTCCTCCTCCTCCTCCTCTTCCTCCCCTCCTCCTCCTCTTCCTCCTCCCCTTTCCGTTAATTTGTTTGAAGCTTGCTAAGGTTTCCTAAAACTTGGAGTTGGCACCAATGTTCCTGCCTTATCCAAGCTTTAAGGAGAACCTTATCCATTAAAAGAGGATGACCTATTATGCAAAGCTGTGGTAGACTAACAGGTTTGTAAGAAAATGATGGCTCTGGGAGTCTTAATTCCTACCAGAGTTTGATCAGTATTCAGAGGAAAGATTCAGACAAGCTGTCCTCTATCTTTCTTGTGGACAATAATACTCAAATAACAAAGATGGGCAGATTTTAGGAAAACTACTACCCTTTGCCTAGTTCCTTATTAACTGAGTTTAGAAAAGATACTATGGATAAAAACCAAAATCAGCTCTAATTTTGGAAAATAGTTTCTTCTTTTTTTTCTTTTGTGAAAATATCTAAGATGCTCAACTTTTTGAACAAAATATGATAGAATATGTAATATGATAGATAGGTAATATGTATATGCACATTATATATACATATTCATATGTACACATATACACAAATAAACCTCCGTGCACTCTAGCTTAAAACTGGCCTCATTCAAGACTTGGACTAACTCATGAAATGAAGTGGCAGTCCAGAATACTTTTAGAGAGATACCCTTTACATAATCTTTTAAAAAATATTTCATTTTAATTTTGTTTAGTGTGTATGAGTGTATTGTGTGCATGTATGTAAGTGCCCCCATGTTGTGCAGTGCCCATGGAGGTAAGAAGAGAGCATTGGATCTCCTGAAACTGGAGCCGGAGATAGTTGTTAGCCACCATGTGGCTTGGATCTAAAGCTAGGTCTTCTGCAAGAGCAGTCAGTGTTCTTAACTGCTGAGCCATCTCTCCAGCCCCCACCTTTTCATAATCTTAAAAAGCCATTTCAGTGGAGGTGAAGGCTAAGAGCATGAGTACAAAGGGCCTTGGCACGCAATCATTTCTTCAGAAGGGTGGAAAAAGGCTAACAGCCCTGCCCTGCCCTGCCCTGCATTGTAAGGGCAGTTATATAATACAACAAATATAAGGAAGGGATTATTTTTAACCACAGTGGCTCAGACTAATTAATAGACTTTTTCCTTCAGTGCTGGGGACTGGACACAGGTTAATTACCTGGTCCATAGTGTTAGAGTTGGGAACTGAATCTAGATCTCTCCAATCCAAAGTCTGAGGCCTATATTTAAATTTAATCGACCTGTGTCCATGGTTATTCAGTGCTGTTCTGAGATGTATCAAAGACACATCATACATCTTTCTATGCACTCAATTCTATGTGGCACTAAATAATTTTATAAAATGTTACATGAAAATTGGATGTGCTGTGGTATGAAATATAGAATTTGAATGATTTTAAATTTAATTTAGATGTAAGATTCCCAAGAAATATCTTTGAAGCAGGCCATTTCCAGTCTAGCTCCTAGGTTCTTGAAAGTACCTTCACTCAGATGAATTTCGTGAAACCAACTTAACTTTGTTTAGGGATAAGAGCTTTGTCAGGCTGGATCTAAGTAAACATTGCAGCAGTATCTGGCTCAGATCACGGAGTTGGGGAACTTCGAATCACAAAACGCTTTTGTCTTGCAGGAGGCTGTTATTGAAAACCGAGCTTTGTGGATGGCAGTCAAGAGATGTTTTGGCTATCAATCAAAAAGCCAGTATCGAATATGGCAGAGGAACTTGGCAAATGACTTGAGCTGGCCTCCGATAAACCAAACCACCTACTCTGACACGCAGGAGTGTGGCATGGGGGTTTCCTACAGCAACCCTGTGTTCGAGAGCAACGAGGAGTAGCTTTGAAGGAAATGTGGTATCCAGGTTGTTATGGAGAAAGGAAGAAAAAAGGGACCATTTCAGTGATGTTAAAACAATGAGACTCAACAATATCAGCTGGAGCTTGGGGGATAAACTATGAAACCATGGTGATGAAGGAAAGTCTACTTGCTGAAATAGATCCTAGAGAGCACTGTCCCTAGAGGACAGCTTCCTTCCTGACTTCCGAGAGCATTAGCACTGTCTGCCAAACCAGGAATAGAGCGACGGTTGCAGTGGACCAAGAGACGGGCAGGCAGCAGAAGGGAAATATGTTATCCTCAGTATAATTCTTTTGTAAAAAAGAAAGGAGTCGAGGGAAGGTCATACCATGTATATTCTTGTAGTTGTAACATGTTAATAATTTTTGAACTTGTACTTAATTACTGGAAAAACTAATGCAAGAGAATCATCATGCTAAGTTTCACCTGGTTTCTTCCCCTTTGCTTTAATTTGCCAATTTGTGGCTTTTCCTTCTCCTTTTGGGCTTCCTCTACTTGTTATTAAGGAAAAATATAGCCTATGATGCAATAACACACAACCCCTTATCTCAGTGCCGTAATACACTAGAGCTTCTTTCTCACTTCAGAGGACTCTGGAAAAGTTGTCCCAAGGGTGGTGATCACTTCAGTGTGACGGCTCTGCCATCTTAACATAGAGGCTCTGTGTTCAACAGGGCCGAAAGACACAAGAGACCACACGGCATGCTTCCCCGCCTTACCTTTAAAGCAGCATGCATCTCTAACCCTGCTCTCATCTCTTTAGCAGAGATTTGGCCAAGGATCTGGGGAGTGCTGTCTCCTGTATCTAGGGTTAAATAAAACCTTCGATTAAATAGCCCCCCCCCCAAAGGGTCTCATACTTGGTTTGATACTGTGCTTTTTCTATTTTGTAAATTTTTGGATTGATTCAACATAGAAAACACTCGGGTTTCTCTTAGGTTTGTGAACAACACTGAGTTCTAGGACAAAATCCACAAATAGAATTTTATTTTATTCCTCAATGTATATTTTTAATTGAATTTTTGTGCATTTCACACAATACATCTTAATTATATTTAGACTTCTTCCCCCATCTGCACTCCCTATAGCCCGCTTATAAGATTTCATGCATTCTGTCATATATA